CCACTGTCGCACTGTTCCCACTGTCACCACCACTGTTCCCACCACGGTGCCACTCCCCCCACTTCCTCCACGGCCCAACCACGGTCCTACCGTCCCCACTGGCCCACTGTCCCCGCCGCTGTCCCACTGAGCTGTCCCAATGTTCCCACCGCTGTCCCCACTGTCCCCACCATTGTCCCCACTGTACCTCTGTCCCATTGTCCCACGGCCGTCCTCGCCACCGCCCTCACCACTGTCCTCGCCACCACTGTACCCTCCACTGTCCGACTGTGTCCGAGACATTCCCGCTGTCCCCACACCACTGTCCCCACCACCACCGTCCCCACCACTGTCCCACTGTCCCCACTGTTCCCACGATTGTCCCCGCTGTCCCCACCAGTGCCCCCACCAGTGTCTCACTGTCCCCACTCTCCCCACCATTGTCCCACCACGGTCCCACTCTCCCCACTTTCCGCACGGTCCCCACCACTGTCCCACTGTCCCCACTGCGCCCACCACTGTCCCACCGTGCTGTCCCACCGTCCCCACTGTCCCCATCACTGTCCCACTGTCCCCACTGTCCCCACCACTTTCCCCACTGTACTAGTGTCCCACCACTGTCCTCACCACCGCCTTCACCACTGTCCCCGCCACTCCCGTCCCCACCAATGTCCCACTGTCCCCACCACCACCGTCCCCACCACTGTCCGCACCACTGTCCCACTGTCCCCGCACCACTGTCCCCGCACCACTGTCCCCACAACCACCGTTCCCACTACTGTCCCAGCATCCCCACCATTGTCCAACTGTCCCGAGGAGCGGGGATCGTTTGCTGGCGGCGAGGGGGGGGAGGTTCGAACCGGTAGTGACCCCCCCCGGTTTTCGAGAGGGGGGGGTTCGACCTGGCAGTGACCCCCTCCATTTTCATGATGGACTGGGGGGGGAGCGGTTCGAACTGGTAGTGACCCTCCCCGGTTTTCGAGAGGCGGGGGAGGACGGGTTGGGAACCCCAAGTGACCCCCCCCCCAGTTTTCTGCCAGCAGCGGTAGAGCACGCCCCTTCCAACATCGATGTCTTTGGGGAAACCTGTGCTATCCTGCCAGGACCCCGAAGGGCATCATCCCCATAGGATGATTCTCTCGGGCACGGGGTTAGAAGTTAGAAGGGCGCCCCAGGATGAGCCCATGCTACACCCTGCGAAATGCTTAAGAAATCATGGGTTCAGAAATTCATAGTCTCAGAATTTAAATAAAAACCCAGAATGCCCATTCAAATCTTAAGATTTACATTGAAACGTTAAGAATAATCGAGACTCTGGCCGAAAATGTAAGTTTTCTTAAGCATCGCCTAAGGTGTACAGGCCCCCAGGGATTGCCCAGGAAGCCCCGCGTCAGCCCCGGGAGGAGGAGGCGCAGGGAGGCGCCACAGGAGATGCCCTCCTCCGCCCGCGAAGCCGCCGGGCGGCATCCGATCCCCCTGGCTGGGAGGAGGAGGAGGAGGAGGAGGAGGAGGAGGAGGAGGAGGAGGAGAAGGAGGATGAGCATTTTCGAATGCGTCTGCGGTCCCCTGAACTGCTGCTTCGACATGTTCCAGCGTAAGGCTTCCATGATCGGTAAAGCTGTGCATGTATTTGAAGGTCCCCAACAGCACAGCCAATGGTGCGTTGCTCCTCATCCTCCTCCTCATCCTTGAAGGTCTCCAACAATAAAGCCAATGGTGCTATGCTCCTCATCCTCCTCCTCCTCCTCCTCCTCCTCCTCCGCCGCCGCCGCCCATACCTCCTCCTTCTCGCCCATCTCCCCCCTTCCCCCCTTGCCCCCCACCCTTTCCCCTTGGGGGTGGGCGAGACTCTCTACAGACGCACTCCCGTCGGCGCTCGCCGCCCTGTCACCCAGAACGAAGGCCAACTGCCGTGCTCCTCCGCAGGACGCCGTGAGGTGCGCGGGGCGTGTGCGGCACGCACGCGCCCCCCGTCCTCTCCGCCCCCCGTCCTCTCCGCCCCCCGTCCTCTCTGGCAGAGTCGACGCTCCGTGCGGAACGGCGCGCGCGTGAACAAGCGCACGAGAGCCTCGCTGCCCCAGCGTCTGAAGCGGCGGGGCGGGCCTGCGCTGGATGGGCCCCGAGAGGATCGGCCAGGAGTCAAGGGGCCCAAGGACACACGAATAGATACGCACAAATGAAGGGATTCCCCATATTTTCCCATAGTTTCTGGGTGTTTGTCTCCCCCCCAATTCCCATATTTTTCCATATTTTCTGGGGGATCGACGATGAATTGTGTCTGTGTGTTTTTTCCCCTCCTGAGAAGCGGCGCGCGCGCGTGAACCAGCGCGCGAGAGCCTCGCTGCCCCAGCGTCTGACGCGGCGGGGCGGCCTGCGCTCTGGATGGGCCCCGAGAGGATCGGCCGGGAGTGCGGGAGGGCCCTCCCAGGGGCGGAGCTGACCAGTCTGTCCGGCCGCGTCCAGCCGTGGCGACAGGGGGGGGGCCCGCCTCCCCCCACTCCTTGTGGCCACCTCAGGCCCCCAGCATGGCTCCAGTGTTCCCGGAGGCCCCACGATGCGGGAATAAGCACACACCAGATTTCGTAATAAAAGGGAGGGGGTCTGGACCCTCCAAGACAAGCCATTTCAGACTCCCCCCCCCGTGGGAGAACCCTCCAAAGCATCGTCCCCAGACCCCCCCAGGCCCTCCAAGATAGCCTGGAAGAGACCCCCCCCCGAAATGAGACCCCCCTCCCTTTATTACGAAATCTGGAGTACACAACAACATCGTGACAACTCACGACTGGAGCCCTGGACCCCATCATGCTGCGTATTCTTCGAGCCAGCAACGCCACCTCATCCCCCCAGCACGGTCCAAGTGAGCGACGAAAAGTGACGGCGCGTCACCTCACATCGTAAAACGAGAGCGCTTGCGCGCCACCTTACGCGGGAAGCTTACGCGCCAATGCTGGCGGTGCGCACAAGCGGGTGGAGGGAGGGGGGAGGGCTTCCTAGAATGAGGCTGCTTCTTAGAAAGTGTCGGCCTTACACACACATAGAGAGAGAGGGAGAGAGAGAGAGAGAAAGACAGAAGGCCCGCGCCTTCTGAGAAGCAGGGGTGCTCCTAAGAAGCCCTCCCCCTCCCCCCACCCCCCTCTGCGCGTGGCTGACAATGTCCGCGCCGTCGACCCCGTTCTCTTCCGCCTCCCACCTCGCCCCCCCAGCAGGCTGCAAGCCCCGGCGTCCTGTTCTCCAGCTCCGCGACTCGCTCGCACACAGCGCGCGCGTGCGCGGGCGAGCGAGCGCTGAGCGGCCCTCCCGGGTGGCGACAGCCGAACCCTGCCCCAGCAACCAACGATGCTCCTGAATCCACGGGAGGCGGGGGAAGGGCTCGAACTTCGCCACGTGCTCGCCGAATTCCGAACCCCATTCCGAGTTCTCAATACGTGCAAGGGGGGGGTCGCCACCCCCGCCGACGGCCCCACATCGACCCCCGTCGCGGGCAGCCACCGCGCGCCGAAGGCGCTCCGACCCCCGTCGCGGCTCGACGACGAGGCGACGTTGACCCCCGTCGGGGGGGGGACCCCCACGCTTATTAAGAAACCCAAGGGTACCCCCGACGCCCATCGAGTTTCGGGAATCGTGGATCGGCGAGGGCAGGCTTCGGACCTCGCCGCCGACCTGCTGGGTGGCCACCTTCGCCTGCGGTCGGCGCCGCACGCGGGCTTGCCGCGCGCTGCTCGGCGGCCACGTCGGCCCGGAGCTCCACCACGCGCGGCCCCTCGGGATCGCCGCGCGCGGCCCCGTCGGCCCTGAGCCCCTCGAGGTGGACCTGCTCCACCGAGGAGGCTCTCAAGGAAGCGACCTGGGAGCAGAAGACGAAACCACTGCATGAGCGGAAGCTCTTTGAGCTCCGCGCGGAGTTCTTGGAAAACGCGCTGGAGCCCCCATCGCTAGCTTCGCGGAGCGCGCCAGAAGCGGCGCCGGAGGCGCCGCCCGGCGCAGATCCAAGGCATCCGCGCAGAGTTCCGAACATGTATATTTAGTGGGGGCTCGACCGCAAGAAGCTTTCCACAAAAAATCCAGCCTGAGACCCCAGGACGTCCATGTTTTTTTTTTGCGTGGGAACGTCACGCTTTCCATCGCAAAGCTGTCGAACCCCAAGAAACACAGGGCACCCTGGAGGCGAGCAGGGTGCTTCTTAGCATGGGCCTCCTCTGTATTAGCTGACGAAGAATGGTATCAAATTCCGCCGTCGGGGTCGCCTGTCACAGGCCTGCTGGAAAATGTGTACCCCGACGTGCCAACGTAAGGGTATAAACTTCCCAACCGCCGTGGGGCTGGCGGCCCCGGCGGCGGATAAGTTTACGGTATACCATCATTCGTCTGCTAACTGCATGTTTGTGCAATTGTTTCCTCTGCGAGGGAGGTCTCCAACGGAACACCGACGCCGACCCTGGCAAGGGCCGGCCGCGGGCGCAGGCTCGGCGCACGCGCCTCCCTGCCGAGAGGACCAGCCGACGCGTGCACGCCCGCTGGGGGCCCGGGAGCGGCCTGGCCAGGATCGGCGTGACAGTTTTTAGGTGGGCGTCCCCCCCAAGGCCGAAGAGATGATGATGATGATGATGATGATGATGATGATGATGATGATGATGATGATGATGATGATGATGATGATGATGATGATGATGATGATGATGATGGTGATGATGATGATGGTGATGATGATGATGATGATGATGATGATGATGACGGTGATGGTGATGGTTATGATGATGGTGATGGTGATGACGACGATAATGATATTGATGGTGATGACAATTGTGTGGACGACTCCGTGGCCAGACGATTCTTTTTGTGCAAGAGGGCGCCAGGCGAGGACACGAAATCTGATGCCGCAGGGGACAGCACCAGGCCAAAGACACATTCTTGAGTTGGGAACAAAGGGGGGGGAGGGAGAGACTTGAGAATGGAAGCGCGGCCCGAAAAAGAGCCACAAATAGCCGCGGGCAGCATAATGTGGACGAGTCCGTGGCCATACGATTCTTTTTGCGCAAGAGAGCGCCAGGCGAGGACACGAAATCTGATGCCGCAGGGGCCAGCACCAGGTATTATGGCTAGTCCAAGACACTGGCTGCAAGCCGCAATACTTGAATGAAAACTCACACACATCTAGATAGTCGGGAGACGTATCGGAGGCTATCGACACTGTTGGCCATCATTGCACATGCGCATCGTAATATACAGGCCGGAGGGTGGCGCGCAGCGCTGCGCATCTGACGGTCTAACGATGGGATGCCCAACTCGCCGAGATGTCGCTTGCGAGTGCGACGGCACGGCGAGGCAACAGGTGAACAGGTCAGGGATAGCCTATCAGTATCTTTCACGTTCCAGCCAACAAGTCGAAATCTGTTTTTGACGCGGCCAGAGTACATGCAGGAGTCGAAAACTGTCGAAGAAGAACTCTGGCTCACAAGAGAGGTGCACGCACGGCCATCCCATATAAAAGACGCGCCGGGGTGGCACAATATGGCGGGCACTTTCTTACCACAGCATTCAGACAGGACGTGCAAGTACTGATCCTGGAAAAGGTTGGCGATGTAAACAGCTCGAGCTTTAAAGTTGGTCAAGGTCGGGAGGCCGCGAGGATGCAACTTGGAACGTACAGCAGGCGAATGACGAAGCCAGGCGGCGGCGTCGGGTTCCACCCACACGCACGAGATGCAGTTAGAACGAATCCAGCCTAACACGCGCCGCATCACTGCGGGATCGGCGATGTCGTCACCTGCGTGGCGACTCGTGTCGAGGTGCACGACGCCGAAGCCCATCCGCTGCAGGGCGCGGGCCGCCCCTCCGTCACAGCCGAGCACCAGCGCAGGGCAGTGCCTGCTTCTCGTAGAAGCCCGCCTGGCAGCGCGCCACAGGCGCGTCAGGCGAAGGCCCACCGTGCAGTGATCGGTGGGGGCGGCGGCCTGACAGCAGGCGGCGTCGGCGTCACTGCCAGTGGCACCTGCCGTGGGAAGACGCCCGAGGCCGCGGTCTGGGGGATGAGGTCGTTCTTCAGCCAGTCCACCTGCTCGTTGAAATCGACGATGTTCTGGCCTAGGCTGGCGATCCGCTGCTGCATGCGGGCCCGCTTCGCGAAGCGGAGAGAGACCTGGTCCGTCTTCCAGCGGCCGCGGTCCTTGACCTCGTTCGTCGTGCGCCTGAGCGACAGGTCTTCGGGCGCACCCGCATGACGAACCGAGTAGGGAACCAACTCGATCTCCAGACCGAGGGCGGCCGCTGCTCGACGGAACATGCTCCGCACCGCGTCGGGGGCGAAGGTCCAAAGGCCGTCGGTCGGGCCCTCGTCGTGCACGGGTCGAGGTCGTACCACGCTCCCCGCCGCGAGGCGGCGGGCCTCGCTTGGCCGCAGGTAGGTGTCGAACATCAGCCTGATGAACATAGTCACGCCGAAGAGCTTCCACGCCAGCAGGACGCCCACGATGGATGCCATCGCCGCTCGAGGAAGAGGGAGTCGCATCAGTGGTAAAACGAGGTTCCGCCAGCCTGTCAAGGCGCGAGCCGCCCGTGGGCACGGGGCCCTGCCAGCAGGGATCGCAGGCAGGTAGTGCTTCAGAGCGGGCATGGGTACACGGCCCGTGGCGCTGTCGAAGCCGTCCAGAAAGAGGTTCACGAAGTAGGTAACTAGGATGACACCGACCTCCTCCGTCGTGGCGAACGTCTGGGCCGTCCAGCGGCACCGCTCCTCGAACTTCTTGGCGGCATCCCAGTAGTTGGCCATGGTCGTGTCCGACACGGCGGCCGTCTCCAGCACCGACAGGGCCCCTCGGGCGAGCAGCGCGGGCCCAGGATGGGTCCTGGTCCTCAGCTCCGCCAGTGTCGTGGTCCACTGCCTTCGAAGTTCGGTGTGCAAACGCCTGGTGCTCCTCGAAGGTCGGCCCGACGAAGAAGCCTGTCCTGGACGGCGAGTCAGCGGCATTGCTCTCACTGGGGGTCCACCGAATGGCGCGGCGGATGCCCGTGGCCGCCGACAGGGCGCATAGTCGGCGCAGAGGGTCGCGGAGGCCTCGGGCGCCAGAACGGCCCTTGCCAGCGGCAAGAGCTAGAGCCAAATTGTCAACGGTGAACAAGATGCGATGATGACGAAGCCGTCCAGAGCGAACCGAGTGTCGCATCGCAAACCCGAGAGCCTCCGCCTCGTATCGCATAATGTCCAAGCCGAACCTTGAATGACGCGAACTGTGTATCGTGGCCCAGTCGTCGGAAGCCGTGATCGAGTCGGGAACCTCATCGAAGCCGTCGAGAGAAGCAGCGTCAGCTTGTTGATGTAACGATGATGCCGTAGACGGAGGGCCCCCAGGGATCTTAGGGGGCTTCGGACTGAGGCGGCATTCTTCGAGGCAATTTTTGTCCACGGTAGCTTCTAACACAGAGCGAGGCTCGATCCCGAGCGCGTGGGCACGGGCGTGCACGGCGTCGGTGAACCGATAGCGCCATCTCTCAGACAGGCGCCCAGCGGCCGCGGTGACCTCCTGGTCGACGGTCTTGCGGCAGACCCCGATGCCGTAGGGGGAGGCGTCGCTGCAGAAGGTAGTCGCAGACCACTCTGCTCTGACGTATAGCGGTATGAGGGCGGCCGCCGCGCGCAGCTCGGCGATGACCGACGGCCACAGCGGCACGGCCACTCCGGAGTCAAGGCCCATGAAGCGGTAGACTGAATTGAAGATCGACAGCATGGGTCTATTGGTGATCATACCCCACGCACAGTGACCCACCACTGCTGACAAGGCCAAGGGCGATGCAAAGCCACGCCTAAGTAGACCGAGCAAGGCTTGACGCAACCGGCAGAGCCTGTCGATCTTACAGCGGACGATGCCGACGTCGCCGAGGATGTCCAAGCCAGTGAAGACCACGCGCTTGGCGGCGGGGGCGAACTCGTCGACGGGCAGACCCCTCGACACGAGCACGTCACGCATGGCCTGGCAGGCCGTCGCGGCCGCCTCGGGGTCAAGGGACACGGTGGCAAAGTTGTCCACGTAGCCCGCGCCGGTGACGTCGGAGTCCTTCCGCAGCGGAGGGATGGCTGCGCCGTCCACCAGCATGGAGCTCTCGTCGATTCCCGAGTCGAGGATGGCCGTGGTCAGGGCGGACTGGCAGAAGTGGAGGGCCCATGACCAGCCCATCGGCACAACGGAGACGAACGGCTGCAGAAAGGCGTTCGTCCCGATGTCCACGCCGTTGAGCCGCTTGAAGCCCAAGTACCGATTCGGGACGACGGGCAGAGAAAAATATCGATGCAGATGTGGTGGTAGCTTCACATGGTAAAATGCGCACTGAATGTCCCCCTGGGCCACGTAGAAGTCGCGGTCGGCCTCGAGTGCGCCCCATGCCGACGGAGTCGGCAATCTCGTAGAAGGAAGGGCCGAGAAGGACACGTTGGCCACCCGCGTGTCGAAGACGAGCCGCAGGTTGACGCCGTTGGACTTCTCGACGAAGAAAAAGCCAGTAGAAAAGGTAGCCTGACGATCGGCGACCTCCCACTCAAGCATGCCAGCCTGGTCCAGGCGTAGCAGAAAATCAGCATGCTCCCGAGGCCGAAACCGAAGGCGTGGATCCACATAGGGCGACCCCAGTCCCGAGTCCTTCCTGAGAGCAGCTGCATCAGCACGGCCACGTAGCATTTGATGCCTCCACCCTGACAACATAGAACGATCAGCTTCAGACACGAGGTCGGCCGTCGGGACGGGCGCCACGTGCTTCGGCCAAGAGACGAGCTCCTTGTTGTAGGGGCTTACCCGAGACTCTCCAGAGTACCCGGGCGCCGATGCGAGCAACTCTGCGAGGGCTGCCTCGCATCTC